TCAGGCAAGTCAACAATATCCCAGGTATGGTTCTTATGCAAAGCATCCAGTTCAGCCATCATAGCATCCCTCCATTCAGGTTTAGATAAGGCTTCTGGTACGGACCTGAGTATCACATGGGAAGAAATAGAAGCAAGAAAAGAGTAGTAGGAAGGAGAGAGAAGGCTGTAAGACAGGTGTTTGGAGATACAATGGGCTGTACACTTCCGCTTGCCCTTGTGGAGAGCAATAGGAAGGTCAAGGTCTGGGAAAGATGTAGATGGATCAAAAGAAGGCTGACTTGTTACCTCAGTAMTGATGGGAGGAGCAAGAGGCTCTTCTGTAGGAGTGGAAACAACCTGCCCATGTCTGAATCTGTGCCTTTGGTACCACCTTTGGGGAACAGGATGAGGAGGAATTATAGGAGAATGAGGTGGAGGAGGAGGAGGAATAGGAATATCGGAGGTAGGTCCAGTGGGAGAAGTAGACACCTCATGATAGGACTCAAGAGGAATGGGAAGAGGAACAACTGGGGACATGGCAAAGGGCTCTTCAGATTTCTCCTCCTCAGGAGAGATGCTAAAGAAAGGAGTCAACTCAGCAAATGTGACATCCCGAGATACAAAGCGAGTGCCACTAATTGGATCAAAACAGCAATATTCCTGATGTGTGGAAGCATATCCCAGAAAAACACATTTACGAGCCTTAGGTTCAAACTTGTGCCTTTGATGACTGTGAATATGCACATAGCAAGTGCACCCAAAAACACGGAGAGGAAGATAAAAAATATCCTCATCCGGGAAGAGAAGGCTAAAGGGGGTTTTGAAGTTAAGGACCCGGGAGGGCATATTGTTGATAAAAAAAGTAGTAGTAAGAACATGGGATGTAAACAAGAGGGATCTGGTAACTTCAACCACATGTCTGTTCTTCCTTTCCGCCACCCTGTTTTGTTGTGGAGTGTAGGAACAAGAACTTTGATGAATAACCCCAAAAGTTTCAAGATAGGCGGAGAGGGTTTTCTCAAAATACTCCTTAGCATTATYAGAAYRRAATATTTTGATYYGAGTGTTAAACTGGGTGAGGATGAGTTCATGAAATTTTTGCACAATAGCTGGTACTTCATCCTTGGATTTCATGAGATAAATCCAAGTGTAACGAGAGTAGTCATCAATAAAAARGATAAAGTACCTGTAACCCCCCATAGTTGGCAAATGATATGGCCCCCACACGTCAGAGTGAACAATATGAAAAGGAGAAAGAAATCTTTTATTGCTTACTGAATAAGAATGTCTACAATGCTTTGCCTGTTCACACGACTCACAATGAAGACTCGATAAAGACACTCCCTTAAACATATTTGGAAAGAAATGACTCAAAGCAGAAAATGACAAATGACTAAACCAAAAGTGACATAACAAGACTTTGTTAACAGACTTTGACAAAACTGACTCTAAGGCAACTCCATGAGGTGGTCCAAAAGCTCGATCCGGTGTGTCCAACAAGTATATTCCGTTCGCCTCATGGCCACTCCCAATCATCCTTTGAGATTGCAGGTCCTGAAAAACACAATGAGTGGGAAAAAA